CAGTAAGTTGTCTACATGAAGAAACGATTAAAATGACCTCAGTAGTATGTTCGACCACCAAAAAAAGGGACGAATGAAGTGTAAATTTAAGGGCTCATTTTCTTTGCTAGACACAATATTAACAAGAACAAGGAGACAATAATACCAGGAAAACTGTTGAACATTTTATTAAAAGTAACTGAATGTAACTGTGAAGAAAGAAATTTGGACGAAACGATAGTTTTTAACCATTGTATTGAATATACGAGCAAATGTGTTATCTTCTCTTTAATTATTCGTTTCTTAGCCAATTCTGAGGGGGAGTAAGCTAAATTTACAGGCTTTCATCATCATCATCATCGTCATCAGCTTGTAATCAGTACGTTATATTCCTGCCAGCGGCGGCTATCTTTTCGTCTACTTTCCTTTCTTCACCATGAAAAGGAAATTTTAAAGGCTCGTTTTTCTTTGTTGTTCACAAAAATTATGAAAGCCGACAGGCAATAATGTCTTTCTTAGCATTATTATAAGGACCAGCAATTCTTACTACTATATTACATGAGTATATTTCTATACTTTTTAAAAAAAAAGGTATAGCAGTAAGAAAACACTGCTTATAATTTTGAAGTTAGAAGACATACATCGAGTGCTGACCTAAAGAAATACAGTTATATGAATGTGATGTATATTACACAAAGGCGATATTTATGAATATCACCAGTGGTGGCGATGTCGTCGAATTTTGGTTGCAGCTATATCTTTACAAGCATCGGCAATTTTAATAAGCCTACATAAGGTTCACAGTGCGAAAAGCCAGTCTTTTGGAATGTAAGCAATTGTTAATCTTGTTATAGGTGCTACGGGTGGAGTTACTAGTGGAGCCGGAGCTGGTATGTCCACTAGCATAGGTAAGCACCGAGTTTATTGTCACCGCATCAATGAGCGAAATACCAGTTGATTGTCTTAAATTTTACGTGCTTGGCAAAATAACGTCAAAGCCTAGGAAACAGCATAAATTTAGAGTAGTTGAAATTAAGAAAAGTCCTCATGAGTTCAAAGAACTAGCTCTATACTATCATTGTGTGACTGCATTGAACTTCTGCACCTATAAATAAGCATTATGAGCTTACATTTGAAACGCTCACGAGTCTTGCAGGTTGCGATGAAACATGGTACCTCGTAAAACACTATGCATTTTTTACTTATGAATTATTTTGAAGTTAATGAAGTGTCAATGTGCGTGAAAAATTTCTTCTCAGACATCACAGCTGATTTCGAAGACAGTAAAAAAATTTAACAGAGTAGAGCTCTAACAATAATTACTTATGATTTCATTCAACGTAGTAAGATACAGTGCCGAATAAACATACATTTTACCTCCTGTTGCATTTTGTATTTCATACGATTTATAATTTACATGACTGAATGTCCGTTGAAGCAGACAGTGATTGTGCACACATGAAGTTGAAGTCATCTCAAGCTTACCAGTCACAATTAACGTCACAATTTAAGTTTAGATTTGCTTGCTTCGTGCCAAATATATGTCTTTATTACAGAAGTTTGTAACCTTGTGCGTCTTGCTGTTATTCATACATTTTTAAACAATACGCTTGCCTTGGAGTGTAAGCTAATTCTACTCGATAGCTTTGATGCATTTTTTTCTTAAAAATACCCCGTGGAGCGAATCGCACGTTTTAAGGAGACCCTACATTCAGTGAAATATTTCATTTATTTAGTTCACTTGTTCTCGAATGATTTATCACAAAGCTGAAGTAAGCTGTCAGAAAAGCTGCGAGTGAAAAAATTCAAAAGAATAAGTCATCATGAAGTACCAAATTTGTTTTCTTTCTTGTATGCTAGAAATTATATAAACGACTTCTTTGTTACCTTTGCACTTCTTTTTTTTTCCTAGTTGCTGGTGGCAGCAGTTCTCGCCATTTCGGATCACACGTGGTCGTGACAGGTGGTAGGGGTGAGTGTTTAACCCTTTTTCAAACAGAGGTGCTGCGCGACAAAAAACTGTGATATAAGCATGTGCTATTGTATTGCAAGTTAAAAATTAATGCCTTAATTGGAGTACATTGTATTATTAAAGCATAACCCTGTGCATAGCATTATTTTCAAGCTGTGTACCGATTTTGTGTCACTTTAGCCGAATCGGCACAAATTATCACCATGAGTGCATGAGCTGAGCAGAACTTTCCAGCATCTGGTTCATTTTTCAGTACATCGAACGACATCATTATTCTTATGTTTTCAGCATTTCCTCTTTTTGCGCAAATGTTATTTCATGGTTAGGAAAGTGAACTCAAGTTCTCTAAAACAATTTACCAGCCTAAAAGCATCATTCTCCGGTCAATTTGTCATTCCTCAACTGACTTGCTTAACGTAAAAGCTTCAGCCTTCTTCGCAACAGTTGATTTGCGCCTAAATAGCGTAATACATCAAAAGAACTGAATTGCAAATGAACGAAATCACGGAAAGAAAAGCCTAGCTCACATTAAGTTAAACCTGTGTGGCGGTAATGCTGGTTTGACGTGAGTCGCAATAGTTAGATAGTGTAGATAACTCACCTGCTACGGGTCTTACGCTCTCGTATCTTCTGTGGCCTAATACCTTTTTTTCGAAATAGAAAAAAACGTTCAATCTGGCATCGTGGCACTGAATGAACTGCTTTGTTGAAAGTAGCACAATATGTAAAACTTTGTGTTTATTATTGCCATAGCATTAAAGAACTCGGTTTGCAGTAATTCCTGTGTCGTCGCCAGCATCCGTGGTTGTAAGCGAAAAGTAAGCGTCGTCCGTGGGGAAAAACTCGAGATTGACTGAAATACAGATATAATTAAAGTATATAAAGCAAAAGGAAAGTGAACCCAGGACTTCGATGTGACGAGCAGTTGAGATCCCAATGCTGCGCCCGTGCTCAAACGATCTTCCGAAAGTAACACTATCGGTATGGTACGTAGTGCGAGAAGTTTCGATAAAACAAGCAATACTGTGTGACACGAGCATAGAACCACGTTAGGAGGTGAAACATATGAATTGAGTGACAAGTTTGTCAAAGAGACATATGAAGCACGCATGCATAAATAATTACCATTATGAACAGCATCAGCAACGTGTGCAGTTGCGCAGCGAGTGCTGCTTAACAGACACGTTTTGGGCAACTCTGCAACTGACAAAACAAAATATTAGGCTCACAACTGAAATATTGCTCCATTACCTGTATAAAAAATCATCATGTAATACTATGAATGAAAATTTGCAATATCTTACATTTTTCTTGTAGTATCTAGGGTGCCAAGCTTCATCTCGTCGTAACCGAAGCCGAGTGTCCGCTATAAGGGGTACGGAAATAGTAATTTTAAGTTCAAATATGAAAAGACTAGAGCCAAACTGAAGTAATTACTGGTTTCCTAATATAAAACAGCTGTTTATAGCTAATAATACATGATGTTTAGATAATAGCATTCATAATTCTTGCCTTCAAGCCCAAAGCCAGCATGAGGAGAAGTATGTGTCCTTTCTACATGTAATTAACTCTTCAGTGTGCGAGTGAGAGACCGTGAAAATCTGGTTCTCTTATCAGCTAAGCTGGTGGTGTTACGTCAGCTGTCAGGTTTCCTGCATGTGCTAAGCCAGAGTGGGCAGAATTCAAACTACTATCGCCCCAACTCATTCCTTACATTGGCCTAGTATACTTTAGAAATATTCAAAACTATGCATTAAATGTGTTCGTTTACTAATGGCGTCTACCAGGTTCCAAGACTGAGGAAAATGCGATGTTTTTTTATGCTAAATATTAACAATTCAAGCATTCCCGTACTTCAGTTATGCCTTTTTCTGTTGATGTACCTTAATTTGTTCTGGTCCCACATCACCAACAGATACAATTTTGAAATCGCCAAGCCTCTTAGAAGGAAGGAATAAAACAGGAGAGAAGGCAGGAAGAGCGACCAAATGGATTTTTGATTCACTACCCTGCGCCAGGAAATGAGAAAGAAGAGTACAAATAAGAGAGAGTAGGAAATAAGAAAGTAATCAATAGGACCACTTACGGGCCTGTGAGGCCTCCTTTTATTATTACTGAGCATGAAAGCCTTAAAGATGGTTCAAAGTGGCGTGTTGGCGTTCTACGTCATATTTTTACGGGTGCCAAGTCTTCCTTTGAAAGCGCACATAGCGACGCCTCCGTGGCGGCCGACACTAAGGCTGACAGCAAAGCGCAAGAATCCGGCCTGACCCCTTTTATCAATGCAGTCTTTCCTATGTATGCAATGAGCTTTCTTCCATGTGGACCATTTCTATAGACAGCTTCGTTTTTACTCGAGTAATTCTAGTTGCAGGCTAATACCTTCATTTATCTTCATTTATCTTTAATAATGTGGTCTATTGAGTCTGTAGTTGACCCAATCTTTCTCTTATACCGCAGTACAGGCCATATATCTCTTTGGAATGTCGCAGTAACTTCCAATGCTACTTCCACGCTCTACATGGTAAGACCACATCTTGGTGCAAGGCTACTTCTAGCATTGCTTCCAGTGTGCCGAAACTGAACTATTGCAGCCTTAGCCGTCATGCATTCGTTAGTCTCTTACTGATAAAATGAAAGTTTTGGTGTTTTTTTTTCTGGAAGCATTATATTACCATGAAGTAAACCATAGTTAAAAACTTCAGATCTACCTAGAGCAGAGAAGGTTTCTAAACGTGCACCTCAGTATACGTTCGTGGGTCGCATTGGTATTTTCAGTCTGCGTAAAATAGTACGCTCGCGTACCACTAACGTTGCCTATTTAAACGAATCATTTGATTCACGCTGAATATATACTTTTTTTTATATTCAGGACATACTGGTACACAGGCAGCTGGTCCCCTTGGAGCTGGTCAGATTGGAGGCAGCTCGATTGGAGGCAGTTTGATTGGAGGTGGTCTGACTGGAGGCGTTTCGACTGGGACCGGTCGAACTCAAACCGGTCATATTGGCAACACTCAGATTGGCAGCGCTCAGACCAGTGGTCGGATTGGAGCGGGTGGTATTGTTGCTGGTCAGCTTGGAAATGGACATATTGGCAGTGGTGGTGCAACTACCTCAAGTGGTGCGGGTGCGTGCAGATTTGTCATCTTTAGGTGGTTGCTGACATATACTTCTCGCGCCTCTGCTGATGATGTACATGATAGTGATTACTAAAGTAAGAAGTTTTCCGTCGTTCGCCTTGGCCTTATGAGAAAAGATTTCCCATACCTATAATCTTTACTAAGAAGTTGTTAAAAGGCCACAGAAAAATATGCTGGCTGAAACAAAGGATTTTGTATAATTGTATTGCTCATTTCATAATTAATTTGTTACCGCAGCAAATACGAAAGTCATACATTTTTCTGTCCTTCGTGCCGTAGCTCCACGCTGTATTTTTACGAGTGACCATTTAGCTAACGTAAATCGTCATAGTGGACGGCACATACCACGACCATCAACATTTATATTGACGCGAGACCAGTGCCCATAACGTTTCACAGCTTTTCTTCTTTTAGCTTACTCTCAGATGGTGCTCAGAAATCTTCAGTCAAATTAGGTGCACTGAATCATTCCATCAGTGCACAGCATGCACGGAATTCCAAAACGATTTATTTTCTTTTTCTCAGGATCTGCTGCCGGTAATTTTGGCGTTGCTGGTGGATCTCTGTCTAATGGTAGAGGTAAGCACAGACTACACAGCCTCGACAAACTTTATCATGTCGTGTTATTACTTCATCTTTTATGGGTGGGTAAATTTTTCAAAGCACAAAGCTAATGAAGCATTGCTTCACTTAACCCTTTCAACGCCGACTTTTAGGAACCGTCTGTAAGTGTGTCAAATCACTACAACGTTACTTCAAGATCTTCAATATTCTACTGAAACAAAAATAACGAAATAATTGTTGAATCTATGTGTGTCATAGTAACTCATTCTAATTAAGTTGCAATTAGGTATCTTTTTATTCTGAAGCCACTAATGTTTACTTTTGGCATAAACGGAATCTAATCTCAGGCTAGAAGTATACTGCAAATTTATTTTTGGTTATATCAACCATGAGCAAGGAAAATTTCTGCTTTTACATTGCTTGCAGGAAGCGGCACGTCGCACGACTCGTCAAACGGGATAGTGCCTTCAGAAAAGCGATCATACGTATCAATACACTGCAAAATGAGGTGAAATGAAGAAAATTAGTCATGCAGGAGGTCCAATTCATCTAATGTACAATATATCTTGCTCTTTCTCAGCTGTTACTTGATGCAATTAACGAAAACGAGTGGGGTACAAAAGCGTGTACATAGTGTCTGAAAGGGTTAAATTGAAGTCAATATTTAGTGCCTACCAAGGAAAGTCAAAGTATTCGCAATTTTTCTATTTAGCACGTCCTGGTTTTGTTAAAAGTCAAGCCAGACACGTTAGCAATAATCCATGGTTACAATAAGGCACTGAGAAATGTGTTAAATTAGCACAGCTAGCAGAATGGCTTGGTCAGTTCACATGTTCGTGTAAGAGTGCAGCGCAGTGCAGACGAAGGACAAGAAACGGACGACACCAACGCTATAGTGCTGTCTGATGTCTTTGTCCTCTGTTTCCCCCTGCCACCGACTGTCAACGATTGTTCATTCTGCGAGTGTAGCTTCCAACTAGCACAAGACAAATAAGCTGGAAACATGTGAAAGCACGCTACAAATCTAACAAAACACTCGTATTGAAGAGATTTCAAAAATATCTGCGACAATAAATTCACGAGGCATTGAACTCCGATGCTCAGACCAATTCATTATTGCTTAAAAATGTGGTTCACAAATTTTACAGTGTTAGTTCTCAAGCACAATCAGATGCAATGAATTTTATCCCCCCAGTTGTTTTTCAGAAAAAGAAATAATCTAAAACAAAACGAAAAGAAATATAATGAAACTAAGAAACAATTACACACACTGTAGAAAACGTATCTTCATTGTAACATTAGTCAGCTTTAAGTCTTAATATGGTTTCCCTTTTTGGTTGCAGGTGTCTTGATCACTCGCACTCACACTCAAGTAACAGAGGTACACACTACGGGCAGTTCAAGTGAGAACAATTCTACTTATATATTCATGCTGTGTGTCTATAGCCAAACACTTGTGTAATGATTTCAACACGGGAAAGTTTCCCGAGAAAACAGCAGATTTAGTGATCAAAGCTCGTGCAACAAAGAATCACACTTAATCCAGCTTTTCGGCTATAGGGGTGTCATGTTCGTTAGACCTCGCTTCCCAGTCCCCGCAACTCGAAGGTCTTATCTCCACACAGTCAGCTCACACACTGCTCACACAGAACCGATGTCTGCTGTTGCCACCTCATCAACGGGGTGCCGCATGCCCTCATATCAATACCAATGGATGTCCTCATACCTTTCCCTCTCTTCAAGCGTGAAGTTCCCGCACTGCCGACCATGGAGGATAGTATTTGGTGAGTTGATCGGCATGGGCCTCTCTACAAGCTTTTTCAGTCTGCGGGTGGGCGAGCTTGAATGTATTTGGACCAACACGTCTGTAGATACGGAATGGTCCACTTCGATTAAGTAAGAGCTTTGACGAGATGCCCTTGCAGCGTCACTTACTATGTGGGTTTCACGCAAAACAAGGTCACCTTCCTCCAATGTCATGGCTCGCCGTCGCTGATGGTAGTGCTGGTTCCGAGCATGCCAAGCATGTTGCTGATGCTGCCGTGTAGCCTCCATGATCTCCGCCAAATGGGACTGAAGTTCTGCTGCTAATGCATGAGAAGCCGATGCATCCGGCTCGCCATCCTGCTTCTCTTCGGCAGGTTGCCAGAGGGTTCGTAGTTAAAGCCCAACCACACGAACTTATCCCTGATGCGCTGCAATGTCTTAAATAATCCCGTATGGGCACTTGTTGGGTGTTCATGGGCCATCTGCCGTACCAAGGAACGAAAGTGAGCAGGCAACCAAGCTACTGCACGGTCACCGCGGCATTGTACCAAAAGTCCCGATGAATCTAGATGGGATGTGGATGATAGGTACTCCAGGAGACGGGTTTGGGCAGTGCCTTTTGGCAGAGATTCTCCCTGTATATTCTTCGTTATGTCACACAAAAGGGCATCACGTTGTTGTTCATGTAATAATTTTCCCGCATTGTTTATTACACTGAGGTCCTCAACAGTGGTCAGCAGGCAGGTGCCAAACTTGTCAGAGCCTTCTTCAAAGTCCAAGTTAAGTGGCAAAGACTCTCAGGCAATCATTTAGCTGCGCCCCACCGTGGTGATCTAGTAGCTAAGCTACAAGGCTGCTGGCCCGCAGGTCGCGGGATCGAATCCCGTCTGCGGCGGCTGCATTTTCGATGGAGGCGAAAATGTTGTAGGCCCGTGTGCTCATATTTGGGTGCATGTTAAAACCCACCAGATGGTCGAAATTTTCGAAACCCTCCACTATGGCGTCTCTCAAAATCATATGGTGGTTTTGGGACGTTAAATCTCAGATATCAATCAATCGGTCTTTTAGCTGCTGTCTTGAAGTCTGGCTCAACAGGTGCCCGGCTAAGGGCATCTGCAGGGATGTTGGCCTTCCCGTGACGGTGCTTACTTTTGCACTGAAACCCTTGAAGGCGTAGCACCCAGTAGCGCACACGAAGAGATGCTTGCTCAGTGGTGAACATCCAGGCTAATGATGCATAATCACAGTGGACTTCAAATTCTGCGAAGTCCAAACAGGGTCACAGTTTCTTCACAGCCCATACAACAGCCAAACACTCCGACTCCTGGACTGTGTAATTACACTCCGAGTCCAAGAAGCCTTTGCTGATGAATGAAACTGGCTTCAAAATGTCATCCTGACGTGTGGCAGCTTGGGCTAGTTGGTATGCCATGACGATAGTTATAGCACGAGAATAGAACGACGACACAGAAACAAGAAGGACACGAAGGATAGTTATAGCGCGAGAACAGAACGACGATGCAGAGACAAGAAGGACACGAGCGCTCGTGTCCTTCATGTCCTTCTTGTCTTTGTGTCGTCGTTCTGTTCTTGCTCTCTAACTATCGCCATGTCATCCGGACGTTGCAGCAGCACTGCTGCTATACCCACACTACTGGCATCTGTTTCAACTATGAATGGTGCCCCGCCGCGGTAGTCTAGTGGCTAAGGTACTCGACTGCTGACCCGCAGGTTGCGGGTTCGTATCCTGGCAGCGGGAGCTGCATTTCCGACGAAGGCGGAAATGTTGTAGGTCTGTGTGCTCAGATTTGGGTGCACGTTAAAGAACGCCAGGTGGTCGAAATTTCCGAAGCCCTCCACTACGGCGTCTCTCATAATCATATGGTGGTTTTGGGACATTAAACCCCACATATCGAACAACCATGAATGGGGCATTGAGGTTCGGCAAGCTGAACTGCAACTGTTGCCGGCATTGCATAAAGAGTTGCAAATGACCGTTCTTCAATGCCCGTCGACTGCCATCGCTGTTGCTGCTTGAGCAATTTCGTCAATGGCTTAGAAGTGAGAGAAAATCGTGGAAGAAAGTTCCTGCAAAATCTAGCCAAGCCCAAAAATACCTGCAGTTGCTTCCTGTTAGAAGGTCGTTGATACTCTGCCACTGCACGTACCTAATCTGGGTCTGGCCAGCACTCTCCTGGAGAAACAACATGACCAAGAAAGATGAGGGATTGCGTGCATTGTTGCATTTTAGCGAGATTAATTGTCAGTCCTGCATTCGCGATGCGTTGGAGAACTTCACGGACATGTACCAGCTGATCTTTTATTGTTGGAGAGTACACCAAGATATCATCCAGGAATGGCATGGCAAATATGTGGTTTATGCCCTCATGAACCCTGACCATCAAAGCTTGAAATGTGGCTGGGCCTCCTGCCACAACAAACGGCATTCTTTTGAACTCAAAGGTGACCCTATGACATATGAATGCAGTCTTCTCAACATCTGTTCTGGTAGTGGAATTCGGAAGAGCTCCTGGGACAAGTGAAAGCTTGTGAACCACTGGGCATTACCTAGTTGCGGCAAGAGCCAGTCAGTGTGAAGCATCGGGTGCACTGGTACATTCGTGCAGGAATTCAAATGTCTGTAGTCAACAGCCACACGGTAGCCTCCGTATTTTTTCCCACCAGAACCGGTGCACTTGTCCAGCTACTTGTGCTGCGCCTGATCAGGCCTCCTTTGAGAATCTCGTCCAAACAGGCATCCATGATGTGTTGTTTCTTTGGATTGACTGGGCGCAGCTTTGTGTGCACTAGTGTATTGTCACCTGTGTCGATACAGTGCTCAATGAGGGTAGTACAACCAGGCCACTTTGTGAACAGTGCCTTGTACTCTCCCAACAGGACCCTGAACTCATTCAATACGTGTGAACGCTGTCCTGAGCCACTAATGGTATTGCATGCCACAATGTCTGGGTGTTTCCTAAACAAACCTCCAAGGCATTGGACATCATCCATGGGATCTGGGACAACCTTTTTATTACGTTTGGCAAAGGGCACAACAAGCTGTGGTTCCATGCACAGAGTCCACCCTCCCAAAGCTATGTGCAAGGACATGCCAGTGGCTGTAAGGAAGTCCCTTTCAAGAACCACATCTTGGCATAGGTCGGGCAGACAGAGAAATTTTTGAACCCGTGAGCCACCATTCCTCTCTATCCTCCATTTGGTAGACGCGGAGCTTTGGGGCCAACCTCATGCCAGGCGAAGTGTTCGAATTTCGCGTTTGCTTTTCCCCCGAAGAGCACGCCATACTGGTCGCCAGTGGACCCAGGAGATTCACGCTGGACCCGGTGTCGAACAAGGCACGGAACGTCGTACTGCTGATTCGAACGTCCAATAGTGCCTCCTTCCCTTCTCCGGCCGCAGATGCAACTTGCATACCAAAATCACTGTAGGCAGTCGCCAAACTAGTGCCTACTGTCACCCGTTTACCGAGCACCGCGCATGGCTGGAAGTGCCCTGGTCGGCCGCATTGGAAGCAAACGACCTGGTCTTGGCGTGGTCTACTCGCACAGTTGCGTGCAATATGGCCCACACAGCTGCATCGTCTGCAAACGACCTGGTTCAATGCCTGCTGAGCTCGACGTCCCACTGGTGGTCTTAACATTGGAACGCCGACAGGCTGGGCATGCATGATGGGCCACTGGTCCCGGTGATACGATGGTTGCACTGCTGCGAGGTGGAGGGGCCATGCGCACCTAGGTGTCCAATAGGCATTTGGTGTGGAGACGACCGCCGTGGAGTGCTGGGGCACTGCTATTGCGTCAGGCATGCCACGCGCCGAATATGCCAAGTCACGTGCGACTTTGTTTGTTTTGGGTGGCGGAGGCCGATATTGCAGTCGGTGCCGCGCTTGCTCCATCAGGCCATCGGCGACATCTGCCAAAGCCTTCAAACTTGAGAAAGTAGACCCCGATACCAAGTCTTGCAGCTAGGGGTGCATCTGGCGCAGCACTCTGTCGACCAGGACGTCGTCGGCAACCTCCTCTCAGATTTGGTCAGAAAACTCCGAGATAACACATATGAAATCTGTCAAGGTTTCCTCGGGGTGCTGGGTGCGGGCCTCCAATTCATCCTTCAGACGCTTATTTTCATCGACTGACGCAAACTCCCGATGGAAAGCTGCGACTAAGTCATCCCACAAGATGAAGGGTCCACCGAAGCGATACCATAACTTCGCGCTGCCGTCAAGAACCGCGGTAATGACGCGGCGAACTCAGTCTTTCGTGGGTATGCCGCTAATCAGACAAAAATTATCCCCCTTGCTGAGGAATTCCTCCGGCGTCTGTCTGTACATCCCTGAGCCCCGCGAACCTCGGCAGCGTGGTCGCAATGGGCGATGTCACCGTCATTAGGGTAGCCGGCGCCGGCGGTCGAACAAAGGCCGGTTGGCGTTCGTCACTCATAGGTATCACGGGAGCAGCCATCAGCGCTTGCCGCAGCTCGGCTGCAAGGCGTTCGCGTTTCATTGGAGATTTCCGTCAGATTTCACGGATTTCAGTCAGCTCGATCCCGGACGGGCCCCCAGTTGTCATGTTCGTTAGGCCTCGCTCCCCAGTCCCCGCGACTCGAACGTCTTATCACCGCACCGTCCGCTCACACACTGCTCACACACTGCTCACACAGGATCGATGTCCACTGTTGCCACATCATCCAGGGGGCGCCGCATACCCTTCTATCAATACCGATGGATGTCCTCACAGGGGACTTGTCGTGAAAGTACTTTTGTGTGAATCTTGGTTCCGCTATCTGGTAAAATAATTTTATGACAACAGAATGGAAATGAAGAACAATGCTTGAAATTGAACCATAACATGAACAGCGGACTCAGTACCCAGCACTGCTTTAACTATAAATAAGGTTTAGGCAGTTTTCATTGGACTTTTGGTAAAACATTTTCAAGAGAACAGTGAAGCTATTAACCAAAATAAATAAATACACAAGATTGAGAAATGAGAAACTCAGTGCTGACTTTCAACAAAATGTTTATTTTGCGTGGACTGAACGCATATACAGTACACCTCACTTTGAGAACTTGGTATGATCTTTTCTTTGTCGACTGTTGTGTATAAATAGCCGTGGTCACGCAGAATAAACATTTGGTTGAATTCATTTCTGTCGTCGACTCAAATTCCAGACTCACTCGCTCCGCTGCGGTACGCATATCGTATCCAGGGATAGCCGAATAGGCTGAAATCACACTGGCTGTGATATATAGTCGCAAATAGTTATTATGCAATGACTCTGAGGCAGCTATCAAAGCGAACGAAACTGGCATTGTCACCGTTCAGGCCATTCCCATTCTGCAAAGTGTCGAATGTATCACTCTCCACTGTCTCACTTGGTTTCCCGCTCACCTGGGGTCGACTGAGGGTTCAACCTCTAACCCTAACGAGGGCGCACACAATGCCGAATGGAGGACACACTGACCGCGCCGCCTCCGCACTGCCCCTGCCTCGCGGAGAGCCCTTTCAAACGTTCAACGAGATAACGAAACACTTCTGTCAAGACAGGTATTCCCTATTCCACTCCCTATTCCACGCCCTGCCTTGTTCTAATCCGGTTGTTGATCATATACCCTGAACGGTATCCTAGTATGGACTACCCTGCCTGTGGGCTATTAGCAATATTGAATCATGTGTTTTGGGAATGACAAGCCATCTTTGTTTTCAGCTATAAGACACATGGACAGCGCTTTTGCGCGAGCCTGAGCTCAACGACCAAACATTGTCCGTTCAGAGAGCCTGCGAATAAGCCACCATGCTCAGCTTCGCGGTCCCTACGCGGGACTAGCCATGTGTCGTGGGGCATCCCCTGTGTCTTCTCTGGACTCAAATAAAGTTGTCATCATCATCATCAAGTAAAAGCCACATCTCATCAATGTATGGTTGAAAAAATAGTTTACGAAGCGCATGCATAAACCAGTACTGGTTACACCACAGGATTATACTGGGGGCAAGATCGCGCATACTGTTTTGATTGTGAGAGAAACTACAATTGCCCATTATGCTTCGTGGTACATGTTCACGGTGGCATTGGGGGGGATGGGATCTCTTACGTTCAGCCACCCGAGGCACTTCCATCTATTTACAAAAGGGAGCAGTACTGGTGTAATTGCTGACACAGTACGATTCCTGAGACAACTTTTTGCAGACTAGCCTATTTAGTGAAACGGAAATTTAGTTCTCACGAACAAACTAAAACATAATTGGTCCTTCTTTTAACTTTTGAATGCGAAGCAGATTTGGCTCGAAGCTGTGTCTATTGGTCCGCTCTCCCACTGCGCATGCGCGTCTCCTCTCCCTCTCTCTTTCGAGTGGGCGGAAAAGGCGACGTTTCTTTGAGAACGAGCGGGTCTTCTTTGTTCGTAGCCGTTGATCGTCGGTCTTGCAGCGTTACATGTTTCGGTGAGACAAAGTGCGTCTGCTCTGGCCTGCGTGGAATCACGTTCGATGTCTCTGACGTCTGCGCTGAGGGACCGGCTGTTATATGGGCTCACCAGCAACGTTCACGGCAGCGGTCACCGGCATCAAGTGATAGTCTCTGACAGTGTTATATATGTTCCCAATGTTGGTGCACCTGTTTAACTAGTTTGTGTGAGTGCCATTCTCCATCTCACCAGTTCTTCGCCTCGACGCATGGTTTCCTTTAGCGGGAGATTTTTTTTTTCAACATGTTTAAAGCCGCCCAGCATAAGCCCTAAAATTGGTTGGTTTATTTTTCGCTATCTGCTTTAGCTGGAGCGGCTGGTGTACTTGGCGGTGGCCTTGGCAGAGGCGTTGGCGTTGGAGGAAGCGGAGGAATCGGTGGTACGACCAGCAATTTAGGTAAATGCCCATATCGCATTGCCACAAACACTCTTAGCGTGAATGGAGGGCCTTTGATTCAGGCCTTGATACTTATTCCTGTAAACTATTTTTGTCGAATTAATTAGCAACACATCTTCGTTAATAAATACCAGTATATTGTTTAGTCATGATTCTTTTTATGGTTGCGTACGTTGTGCGAGAATCAACAACACCTGAATGCCGTTTTTACTATATACATATATATCTTTCTAAGTGTTCTACACCGAAAAAAATTCCTACGCGAATTCTTTGATTCATGAGTAGTTGCGTTTTACCATCCCCTAATTGGGTCTGTAATTTATTCCATGGGCAAGGTTTGAAAACGACCACACCTTTATAGCTCAGCACATGAGGCAACCATTCTTGCATTTAGCGACGTGGCCGTCACCACCCCTGTGGCCGTCAGTAACGTAAGTGATATACATAAAAACATAAAATGAGAAAAAATACCAAAGATTGAACGGGATTTGAACCCGGGACCTTTTTGCGGTCGTCGGTTATTCTTAAGCACAACCACGTTGGTGCCTGAAACTCATTTGCCAAAAGAGGTGTCGTGTGAGCGAATGAATAACGTTAATATGCTTGTGTGAATATTCGAAAGCTTCGAATATTCAAACGAATAGTAAAAAATTTGAATTCACTCCGATTCAAATTTAAATTATTGAAAATTTCATAGTATTCAAAGAAACTAATAGGTCCATATTAATCTGAATGTACCGCCCATAAAAGTGGTAGTGGTTTTTCTGCATTGTAGAATTGTTAAACCATGAAAGCACCTATTCAAACAAAAAAATCGTTTTCTCGCAAAGCTCCCCCCCCCCCCTCAAATTTAAAGGGGCCCTGCAACACTTTTTCAGCATTGTCAGAAAACGCTGCCGATCGATAGACGAGGCTACCGAGGGTATGGAAACCAATTATTATAACACATCGTGTGGCATGCGATTCACAATATTAATTCCCGAAGCCAGCCACGAATTGCTCTCTTCTCTCGGCAAATGACTCCAGAAGCTCAGAAAGTCCACATGACGTATTTTCTTTCCCCATGCCATCCCTCCCTGCTAAGCTTCCAGCGCTTTTGTCGGTACGGGAGGAGAGAATGCACTTAATTGCAGCCTGCAATAAATCTTTGCAACTCCGTGCGTACTGAACAGATTCTAAAAACTTTTACGGGGGTCATTTCATGAGGCAATAAGCGTCTTTAGTGAATTCATTCCATGGCTACTTGAAAGTCGAACGGCCTCGTTAAATGAAAATATTATCCTCAAATCAGTTCATTTTAGTAAGCTTAAAAGCTTGTTTTGACGGCTTATACGCTATTTGTATAATACATTTTAATACGTTAAATATTTTAAGGCTTATGACTCGCATCCTGCTGAAAGTCATATCCTGATACTACTTAAAGTTGTCTCGACTTCCTTTCAACGAAAGAAAGACATTTCCGTAAAGGCCTTATTTATATTCAAAAAATATTGTGCAAGTTAGTTAGGTCATGATACATACGCCTATTTTTATTTATATGTGATATATACTATTTGAATTCGATTCAAAATTATTCGACCAAAATCACTACGTGCTTCGAATCCGCTTCGAACCTAAAATTCACTATTCACACAATCCTAAACGTCAATAAGTGTAGCGTAGCGTGCCAGAAGACTGAAATTATAACCAGTCATCACATAATTCTAATTGTGCAACAAAGGTGTGGTTGAATGCTTCCCACCCACCGCAAAGTGCTTGGTCATAACTCTCGACCACCATCAGCCACATGTAGCAATAACAAAGTGCACATCATACGCAACAGATGTGGCTACCTCACTTATCTGCACAAAGACAAACAATGGCGTTGTGAGAGCGGCATATTTCACAAAAAATCATGACTTGTGTGGTACTCAACACCTTGCGGAATGTCAAAACTTCAAGCGTTGTTTACCTTGCCTCAACTCGAAGCAACGCTCCGAATTTTCATCAGTCAGTATTGTAATCATAGGTGTCTCTTTATCTTTGCGTGTGAAGAACACATCATGTTATCGTGACTGTACGTCAAAAGTTCCTGACTATGATGTTAGAAATGTTGGGGCATATGGTACAGCTTCCATTGAGTGTAGTGCTTGCGATGGAGTTACTCAATGCTCATCGTTGGACGCTATAGTGAAAGCTTGAAATAAGTTGTGTGTAGCTCTCTTTGGTCAGATTTGCCTTTTCTTTAAACTACAATTTGTATAGTCTGTATGCTGTAGGTTAATTTAATGCTGCCAGATATGTTGTATGTATTGATATCATTGTGTAGCGCACGTGTCTTGAACGATGAAAGAAGTGGATGTCATTACTCCACCCTATATATTCCTTTGGCTAACAGTAATATTTTTATTATTTTTAATCAATAATTATTATTATTAGTGACCGTTGTGCGCAATCCTTCAAAATAAAATGCGCACACTCGGAGAGCATTCAATTCTCAAACTACTCAATTATTTTCTTGTACCTCTCAGCGGTAGCATTCATGGCACCAAACCAGAACTTTCTGTGCTAAGAAAACACGTCTCTGCTTCGTCGTGATTGTGAGCGCTATTTGTATACCATGTCAAAAATTTATTATCTACAAAGTATTTTCAGGTGATAGGGCGGAAAAGTTACCCACCCTTTTTGTGACTCTTTATATCTGAGTGGCACACCTGTCAATATGGCTTGCAAGACGAATTGACAAACAATCTTAAACACTGGAATTTTTCGAAGATACAGTGGAGCCAGTTGCTACAAAAAGGTTACCTACCATGACCACGACAAGCGTGAAATATTTTCAGAAACGTATTACGTTGAAGACATGATTAACAATCAATATAAACACTAATTCTGACTTTGCTAGGGACTTTACACACTGCAGCCCACAATTTATTTTTGTCGCGGGAGGTGAGCACATTTCTTCATGTGAAATAATCTATCAGCGCTCACATTTTTTACGCAATGAGAAAATACTGTAGTTGAACTCACAAAGTCTTGATGAAGTAATAGAAAAAAATTTGTTTGATAACTGCCCATAAATTGCCACATATTTGAGAACAAATCCTGCGTAATTATTGAAACCCTTGCTTCCAAATTCGTGTTTATCCTCAGCCATAACTACATAAAAGCCAGGAATATATATTACACGTTTTCAAAACCACGTCACTATCACCGATGCGCTAGACAGGTGTTTCAAAATCAACAACTAACAACTCGTCACGAGACGATAATAAGTTTTAAACAAAGCTTCTCCATCTTTCTATTCTAGTCACTGGAAGTTAGACCACTGGTGCTAGAGTCTCAGATACAGTAACGTGCAACCGTGGCTACAGTTTTCCGCTAAAGGACACACGAAATTCGAAGGTTAGCTAGATTCACACTGCTGCGAGGAGTCTTTATTTATTAAGAATGTTACTTTCTTGGCATGCGCTTTCAAAATAAAATGTTTTCATGTCGCGCAAGTTGAATTGGTTAAGAAAGTACCAACGTGAATGATCTAATAGCGTAATACGCAAGCACCCCGCTAATAGGAAGCACCGCTTCAACTGCTGGATCTCATTGGTTGGGAAATTGTAAAGTGAATCAGAATCACCAGAAAGAACACTATGACCTCGACGAAAAAACCCTGAAGCAGATAATACAACATACCATTATAACGCTTAGAATCAAATAAACATGAAAAATAACGTGGGCTTAGCATAGGAGATATCAACGAAAAAGAAAGCGCTTATACTACACTTTCTTTACGTTACCGATCATGAACAGCCAGTGGTGTATAGGTAGATTTGCAGACCCTTTGAACATCTATCTACGTAACACTTTGAAACCGGAAAAAATCTGCAATCGCCCAAGATTATTAGAAAAAACCGAGATGGTTTCATAACGCTTGTAAACAAAACGGTGTTCGTTTTTACGAGTGCATTTATGTAGAGTATTACATCTTCTTTGAGTTGCTCATCCGGATATAGGTTTCAGTCATCGTGAATCAATCACAATGCTTAGCGTCGTGTTGTCCCGTGCCTAATATATATATATTTTTTGCAACACACACTTTTCAGCGTATAGTGCTTCACAATGTTAGGCTAAACAAATGGACATACTAGTTCAGCATGATCCGACATACAAGACACGAAGACAACGATGGTGAAAGACACAGATTGATTGATTGATATGTCGGGTTTACCATCCCAAAACCACCATATGATAATGAGAGATGCCGCAGTCGAGGACTCCGAAAATTTCGATCGCCTGTCGTTCTTTAACGTGTGACCAAATCAGAGCACACGGGCCTACAGCATTTTTGTCTCTATATTAAAAATGCAGCCGCCGCAACTGGGATTCGAACAAAGGAGAGAGAAAGGCACGCACACATGTTGCTACTTCTAGTGACGTTTATGCTGAAAAAAATCGCGTCATGTAAAATAAACCACGTCACTATAAAAAGCGCATCAGTTTTTGTTCCCAAAATTAACATTGTTGAAAGTAGCGTGCTATGCACTGTAGCTCTCTACTTGCCCGTCATCGTCACACTTTGGATTTATGTGTGGTTTAACGTCACAAAACCACTACATGACTATGAGAGACGCCGTAGTGGAGGGCTTTGGAAATTTTGACCACCTGGGGTTCTTTAACGAGCACCCAAATCCGAGTACATGGGCCTACAGCAGTATCGCCTCCATCGAAAATGCAGCCGCCGCAGCCGGGATTTGATCCCGCGACCTAAGGATCAGCAGCCGAGTACCTTAGCCACTAGACAACCACGGCGGGGTCATCGTCACGCTTTGTGCCTACGTTGGTGCTTGAGCTGTTTTCACAAGCTACTGAAGCACTGCAGGCGTTACACGTGTTCTCACGTACTAAATTTTGCTAACCTTCTTTCTTTTGTTGTCCTACTAACTGAGTTCATTTCGTAAGCTTGATTACTTTGGCAACGAAGAATATTCCTTTTCATTGTTTATCATTATCAGCTGGCAACAACATAGGAATTGGTGGCACTGGAATTGGCGGCACTGGAATTGGCGGCACTGGAATTGGCGGCACTGGAATTGGCGGTGCTGTACTTGGCGGTGGACCAGGCATTGGTGTTGGAGGCGCTGGTACTGGTGGTGTCGGAGTTGGTGGAGTTGGTCTTGGTGGTGCCGGACTAGGTGGTGCTGGACAAGGCGTTGGGGTTGTCAGTGGACTTGGTGCTGGAGCTGCTGCCGCCGGAAGTAGCACTGGTGTAGCTAGCGGACAAGGCGCCGGATTTACTGCTGGAGTTGGCGGTGGTCTTAACGGTAGAGTTGGCGCCCTGCCTGGCGGTGGACTTGGCATTGGACTTGGCGGTGGACTTGGTGCTGGAACTGGTGCCGCCGGAGCTAGCACTAGTGCAGCTGGTGGACAAGGTGCCGGAGTTAGCGCCGGAGTTAGCGGTGGTCTTAATGGTAGAGTTGGCGCCCTGCCTGGCGGCGGACTTGGCGTTGGACTTAGCGGTGGACTTGGTGCTGGAGCTGGTGCCACCGGAAGTGGCACTGGTGTAGCTAGCGGACAAGGCGCCGGAGTTAGCGCCGGAGTTGGCGGTGGTCTTAACGGTGGAGTTGGCGCCGTGCCTGGCGGCGGACTTGGCGCTGGACTTGGCGGTGGACTTAGCGGTGGAATTGTCGGCGCGGGTGGGGGCGGTCTTGGAGCTGGTGCCACTGGAGGAGGTGGTATTAAAATTGGTGGCGGTGGACTTAGTATCGGTGAGTGCATGTCCAGCATCCTCTGTCTGTTACAAATAATTTCAATCCTATAGCGTTATTTTGGCTCCGCGTTTGTGCTTGTACTAGGAATATGTGTTAATAATCATGTTGATGTTGCCCCATGGCCTCTTGCTAAGCTATTTGGTTCATTGGTGGAGCAAAATAAGCGTGTTGATAAATGAACTACAAGTTCATAAAATTGGTGCAATAAAGCTGCTTGTTGGCTAGATATTGTCGACTTGTTTAGCTGTACACTTGTAGGCGACCAAGTTCTTCGAAAAGCCAGGTCACGTTCATTTTTATGAATTAATTATTCTTCCTGTCTCTAAAAATGCTCTGCCATTATTGGCTAACCTTTCATCTACGTTTGCTCATCACATGGTGCATAGACTTGCGCTTGGTCTCTACTGAAACGCAAGTGCCGCTGTCAACGCGACGTAAGTTCACTTTTTTAAGCAGATAAGGTGCTTACCCCTGAAGGGCTCACAGAACCCATGACGATAACTAGATATGCGCCAGAATTTTACATACTGCTCCAGAGAAAGAATATAGTGCGCATTAAAAACAACGAACCCCAATAGCAATTTCTCACTGTTTCAGCCCTCTTCGTGGTGACTTAGTGAATGTTCGAGCGTTCGAGCTCCCCTTTCACTATGAAAAATATCATGCAAGGATCATAATTGACCCTAGCTGCCTTTTGCATGGTGCTCTTGTTACCGACCACCCAAGGCATTAATTAGGAGCAGCTATAGAGACTAGTTGGTGTTGCATCTTGGATAATCAAGCTTTTTTATCGTACAATAATGTACTGAATACACCACAAACACAGAGTGCAGACTGACAACTGTTATTCTGTCTCTACCCTGTGTGTGATTTATTCAGTCTCTGTGTAATAGAGAGATCGATTGCCCAAAAATATGCACGGACGTCCCAGTCAAAGTGCTGCCACTAGTGCGCTGATTAGCTTACTCAGAGGTGCCCAACCTCTTTGAGTGAAAGACTGGGTAGCATGAAGGCGAAATCGCATGAAGCCGCAAATTATCATCAAGCCTCTCGAAGAACACGAAGAAAAGTTTTGCAGTAGCAGGGATAATCAGGGAAGTTGGTTCTCCTTTGGCTGAATGAGGGCGCACACGGACCTTAGAACAGGAGATCGCACAGACCAAGCGCGCCTACTCGCAACTAAAGTTTATTCGAAAGAAGGGTGGGTACATATACATCGCTTCTGTCCCATGACCTGGCCGGTGAAAGATCAAAAAACAAAAATAAAATTGGGAATATAAAACACATGCCTCAGATCAGATCCTCAGAGTGCTCATAAGGTATGCAAATTTAAAAAAAAAGGAATTTTCATTCCTTATGAGCACTCAGAGCATCTGATCTGAGGTGCGTGTTTTATGTCCCCATTTTTATTTTGTGTTTTTTATCTTTCACCAGCAACGTCACGTGACAGAAGTGATATATAGGTACCTATCCTTCTCTCGAAGGAAGTTTAGTTGCGAGTAAGCGCTCTTGGTCTGTGCGATCTCCTGTTCTAAGGTCCGTGTGCGCCCTCCTTCAGTCAAAAGAAGGAAACTTTTCCATTGGCGCGAGTGCGGTTCACACGGCTATGATACACGTGGGTTCGCTTGTGTTACGCCAAGTGAACAAAACAGCATATGGCAACCTTAAAGTGGCCCCGCCGCGGTGGTCTAGTGGCTAAGGTACTCGGCTGCTGACCCGCAGGGCGCGGGTTCGAATCCCGGCTGCGGCGGCTGCATTTCCGATGGAGGCGGAAATGTTGTAGGCCCGTGTGCTCAGATTTGGGTGCACGTTAAAGAACCCCATGTGGTCTAAATTTCCGGAGCCCTCCACTACGGCGTCTCTCATAATCATATATGGTGGTTTTGGGACGTTAAACCCCACATATCAATCAATCAACCTTAAAGTGCGCCGCCCTTAAACATAGTCTGAAACATGATTTCGAAAAGAGGGGTTCAATCGTGTACGCACATTTCATAAAACCACTTCAGCAACTTTTTAAGGTTTTTGCTGCGTGTACACGCACTGATACGAATGGAGGCACGGAAATACATAAAAAGCAGTTGACTTGACCCCCCTCCCGCGCCTAATTCAGAAAAAAGTTTTCGGCCATGCCCACGCCAAAGTTACGGTGTAAAATGTGCTCAATTTCTTCATTTAACACCTTAAGCACAGCAAATTCAAAATCTAGATGGGAGCCGACAGATGGAAACAACGTGGTGGGATAATTGAAAGACATAGGTCCTCCTATCCAAACGTTGGCCAGCCGTTCTGAGGCACTTTCCCTGTTCACCCTGACTATCCCCCTTAAACACAGCAGTTACTTTTATTTGTTTTTCTTGTTTTACTCTCTTTTTTACTTACTCCCATTTCTTCCACTCCTGCTTGGGCCTCTTATGGTCTGCAGCATTGTGAAATAAATAAATAAATAAATAAATAAATGAATAAATAAACAGACTTTCTTACGTCTTATGGTGCACTGACGTTTGGTGATGTTTTTTAATTTGAGGAAACACATTTGCATATTAACTTTTCGCAGGTATTGGAGGTAGTACTGGTTTACTCTTACGACCAGGCGGAAATGGTACTTGGGGTGAGTACAGCTGCCATTTCTCTGCAAACGAACGCAGCTGCGGTAACGAATGGCATGGCTTCAACAACTGCTTTGCAGTGAAGTGTGCCCATGAACAGCTTTCGAACAAACACATACCAACAAGGACGCGAATTCCCATTGCACTATATATTTTAGCTCATTCTGGGGCTTCTTGAACGAGGAGAACATATTTCTGCGCTTCAAAAAAAAAAAACGTGATAGTGCCTACAATGCCAGCATTGCAAAAAAAAAAAGAAAAAGGAAGGATGAAATTTACAATAGATGTACACCGGGTGCACTTTTTATTTGCTGTCCTACAGCGGAGTGGGTTCACTCTGTTTCTAATATGAAGCACAAATACAGGCTCATGACATGGCATTTGTGTTCTACATGCTTCTAACCACTCCTGCGTCCCTTTCGCTTGCGTTTGCCCACATAGCGTGACATATCTTCTTTTTTTTTTCTGCTCTACTCGTCACTGTAAAAGAATAGTACATTGTCCAAGACAGTGCGATTTACAAAGTAACAGCTTGAAAAGCTTTATTAAGCATTTTTAAAATTGTGATTGCCTTCTTTATAGTACAAAACTGCTAACACGAACCTATGTTAAAATAGGTTCTATTATATTTGCAGTTCACAATTTCTGAAGTCGTGATTCCGCCGGCGTCAGCGTGGAGTTTTTAGGCACTCCCGAAGCACAAACATTCGTGCTTCCACTGTGCTCTCCTGAATTTTTTTACGTCTTCCGCACTTCCCAGATAATGGTCCTTCTAGGCGAACAATGGTAACGTTATTTACTGCAGAATGTCAACACTCGCGCCACAAACGAGGAAGGAAGACAAGATGAAAGGCTATAAAAAGATAGCAATTTCTTTGCTTTGTTTTTTCAGGTGGGCGGGGTACTGGCTTGCCACGCAGGGGAACCTACAAGGACACATGAGAACTTTCATCTGGAGACAATTACACTCTTTTCGGAGACTCGTGTAATACAGCTGAAAGTTAACGTGTTTCTTTAAACAGAGTGATACACGTGGCCAGTCAGTACGAGCCGGAAACCTTCTTCTGTATTTTTTATGTGTGTACGCCATCATCTTGTAATGAATTCGTGCGACATTGTTAGGATTCCAATACTTTTGTGCGATTATCGCAAAATAAAACTATGATACTCTATGATACTGTGAAAGCGCGAGAGGCACTTATGTCGACTGTGAAATGACCAAGGTAAAAAGTGAGGGTCTTCGTGGCCAGTGGAAAGTATAAGCTTATACTATAAAACCAGGCATTATCCCAAAACTACATTTTACGTACTCACCAGCAACACGCTATAGTCGCCACGAATGGATGCTGTTGTTCGACCATATCGTGTATATGAGTGTTCACCTTGTGTTTCATTTGATAGCACTAGGGAAAGTGTGCATGAAATTTTCAGCAGTGAACTATTCTGTGACAACAGTGCAGGCTTTCGATTTTATCGAGAGCTCTTAATCAGCCCGTTAAGCGACTATCGTTCAAGGTGACAATGCATTGGGACACATGGCTTCACGTTCGTGCACTCTTCGGTAAATGCGCAGGGGAATATATATGCTTTAAGTAATCCGAGAAGCGTATAGTGGGGGAAAGGGAGTTGGTAAGAAATTCAGAAAAATTATAACTGCGCTAAAAACGAGACACGAGAACGAAGTGGACAGGACGATCGCCGTCCTGCAATCCGACAGCACTTTCTTCGTAAGTTAGGCACAATTCCTGGAGATCATTGGCGGGTAATATGAAGGTTCACAATTTACCAATGAAGTGTGGCAGCTTAGGCTGGTTGTTATGACATGACGATAGTTATAGCGCGAGAACAGCACGACGACCCAGAGACAAGAAGGACACGGAGGAAAGGAGCGCTCGTGTCCTTCGTGTCCTTGTTGTCTCTGTGTCGTCGTTCTGTTCTCGTGCTATAATTATCGTTACCAGTGAACACACATGCCGAGATGATGTGCCTTGCGGCAATAATCACCTCTCATTTATTTTTATTTTCTTGCGTGTGTGTTTCAGGATCCGGTAGATTCCAAAGGTGCACGGTCAGCGAAGTATCGTTGGCAAGATCATCCAATTGCGGCGAGTGCAGTTGTGACATCTACTTGAAGACGGGTCGACTCCGTGGGAAAGTCGAAGGTCGTCAGTGCCTTAAATCGAGGGAGCGCAGGTGTTGGTGCAGGTTGCTTTATTGCCGAAATTACGACGGCACATGTGTTCGAAGAGATAAGTGCAGTAACCCGCCAGTGAAACAATTTACTCCTCTGTGATATTTCAATAAAGTGCCACTTTAGAATATTGTTCACAAATGTCACATCTCTTCAGTTCTATTTGCTGTAATAAAGCTTTCGTTAGTGTTCTAGTATCTCCGAGTGTTGTTTTCTATGCAGTAAAATTTCTGTAAGCCGACTGTATAATCTTCTAAGAAAAAAAAAATTATTCTTCACTTTATTCAGTGTACCCTGACACACCATGTATTTCGTTCTGTTTAAAGATACCCCTCTCTTCAGCTTCTTCGTCCGCTTCGATTAGTCTTTTTGGGCTACATGTTTCGCTATGCATCACCACCAACAATTTTATTCTAGCATTCTGCAACCTATACTCTGTCTCGCACCACGACTTCCGACGAGAGTGCAGCCATCTTCAGAGAAAGTTGACGTGCCTCTTTAAGGAGGCTCAAGCAAATGGCAAGTAATGACTCATATGAAAGAGTCGCTTGAATGACTCTTTTTGCTGAGAGAATGAAGCCATCACGAGCCATCGCAATAACGTGACATGCGTCACTTTTCAAACGTTTTCTGCTCTGAAAAAAACAAAAAATACTAACAAATCATGTGCTCACCTGGGATTTGTATGAATACTGATTTATAAAATAGTTAGAATGAATTATTGATGCTAATTTAGATTCTTGATATGCATATGACCTTTGCGCCAGAGGTTCAAACAATTTACAATATCATTGCCGTTGGGAATGCCTCATACTAAGTGCGATGATGATGATACCTGTGACATGCCGGTTGTTCGGCCAAGAAATAATTATATGAATTAGTGAGGCATTTTTAGCACTGAATAGCTATAACGAAGAGAAATACGGCGCACGTAAAAAGGAAAGAGTGCAATAGCTGTGTTTTTGGCAGTTCAGATCAGACAATAGTCATTTTTTATTGAAGTTGAATGTAAATGAAGGAGTTCATAGTTGTTATCATGAACATTTACTAAGGTTATTAGGAAAACTTGGATTAACCAAATTATTAATGGCAATACGATACTCACACAAGTTCAGCTACAACTCCCTTTTTCTTGTTCTTTCTTGTTAACATTTACGTTAAAGGTAACACTTCTAAGCAAGTGTATATAAGCGTCATTTGTTTTAAATCGACCACTGAAACACGACTTCATATTTTACTACATTGAAATTCATTGCAACAAAGCAGTAAAACATTGCACACTTGTTGAAGGACATCCTATTATATGCACGCTTTGAAAACATCGTGAAAAGGAACAAATATCAATGAGCTTGAGAAGGGCGAGAAATAATTCTCAAGTATAGTTAAATACAAACTTTGCTTTTGGGGCAACCTTGTTCGTGTGAGAAAGGAATACTGTATACTGAATAGCAGCAAAACAGAAGCGCTGCAGTAAATCCTGCTGTTTATGTCTTGAAAAAAAAAACGGTTGTCTCGTGTTTAAACTGTGTCTTTTGGCCCACTTTGAAGCTGGATTTTCCAGTATTCTACGAAATGCGTTTACTTTGTATTGTGAGAGAAACGCCAAATGGTACTTGCAATGATATTTTAGTTTGTTTTATGAATCACCATATTTGTAAGTGACACAATTTTTGCAGGACAAAAATAACGATGTTCTCATTTGTTTTTGTGGGATTGCCGCTCCCACGAGAGCGAGAATTGAAAAACTTACGCACATATGTGTGCATGTAGTTCAAAAGACAATAAATAGGGAAACGAAAATGAAGCGATGAAGTTTTCACACAATGACCTACCCTTGTTTATTTTGTTTGACATTTAGCGTGCCGGGCCCAACTGGACATTGAGCAAGAGATCCTTAGTCGAAGCTCAACGAAAGGCCAAAGGAAATTACTAATATTCGTACAGGTCAGGCAAAACTTGAATGACAAATCCTTATGAATGACACGAAAACGAATGACACCCCTATCAACTTCGTTCTCAGGTTGCCTATGGAATCGGTGTTAAAACAGAACGAACCCTTACACATGGTGGTATAACTGTCCGGACGTGGCACTTCCCACATCCGGACAGACAGCTTGAAGCTCTCCGCCGCCTCGCGGGCCTTCTGTACAACCTGAAGATGGCTTTCAAGTGAAGCACTTTGAGTATTTTGTCACAATGTTTTTTCATTCATTATAAAATTGATGTGAAAGAAACTTATGGCCTTTTCCTTGTAGATCTTTTGTAACTGAGCATAAACATATGAACCTAAACAGGATTAAACAAAAAAGTGATAAAAAATTGTTCTTTTTCTTTAGTTTGTTAGGGTTTTTAAAGTCAAAGCTCGATTGATTGATAGATATGTGGGGTTTTAGCGCCCCGGAACCCCCTTATGATTATGAGAGGACGACGTAGTGAAGGGTGCTGAATATTTCGACCACCTGGGGTTCTTTAACGTGCACCCAAATCTGAGCACACAGGCCTACAATATTTCCGCCTCTATCGGAAATGCAGCCGCCGCATCCGGGATTCAATCACGCGACCTGCGGGTCAGCAGCCGAGTACCTTAGCCACTAGACCACCGCAGCGGGGCTCTGCGGAAGCCCAGGTAATGGTTAAACTGTCGATCTAGCTCGCGGTTGGGTCTGCGTGAAAGATTATCTTCAAAGTGCTACTCACAACCCCACGTTTATAGACGAGTGTGTGGTTTTCTCCTTTCCCTCTCTACCCTACCCACACGCGATCCATCTTCATCGCCACTTACCTCTTTAAAAAACGTGAATAATGTCAGTACTAAGCACTAGAGCCTAAGCACTAGAGCCTATTAGGATTTCGCGCTTCTGGGATACACCTCGTTATCCCGCTTGCGTAGGGGGGGGGGGGGGGTAACAACAAGAGGGAAGGCAGTGAGGTTAACCAGGCACATGCCCGGTTTGCTACCCTACGCTGGGGGAATGGGAAGGTGGCATAAATATGAGAGAGAGAGAAAAGAGAAGATAGAGAGAGAGAGAGAGAGAGAGAGAGAGAGAGAGAGAGAGAGAGAGAGAGAGAGAGAGAGAGAGAGAGAGAGAGAGAGAGGAGAGAGAGAGAGAAAAGGAGGATTGTCAGTCAATCGGCTGGCGCGTATGCAGTGGTGGCACTAAACAAAAGTTAAAAGTGGTCACATAGGCCTGTAGTCCTCAAAAAGCACAAGACAGCTTTGACTGCTTTTTGAGCCGACGAAAGGCGATGGCGGTGTTCCAATAGCATCTGCACAGAGAGTGGCCGATCGTCCAATTGTCGCAATGCGTCCGAGAGCTTCTGTCTTTGTAAACACACCGAATGAGGTGGGATCCGTTGATCGTGCGCGATTTTCATGCAAGACGAGGAAGAACGGATACGCGGCTGCACGGCAAAGCAGTTCAGCCACTAGACCACCGCGGGAGGGCTAAGGTCAAGCCTCGTAAGCAAGGCTGCCCATTCTGTGTTATCGTTTCTTGAAGGGGTAAGACAGGCAAAAATCTGTTGCGTGTTTTTGAGGCTGTTCTGATAACCAGTTTGCTCGACGCCCTATAGTTTTAAATGACAACGCTGTTGGCAGACTCCCTGCCTTTTATTCAGATATTAGGAGTTCTTTTTTTTGTATTTCGGTTCACGAGATGAACTGCTCAGTGTGTGGAAACTGCAGCTCATAATGTAGCAAAGTTCCAAAATTAAACATGTCTTGCAAGTGAGAAGTTCTTACAGTTTCTTTTGCCCCGCCGTGGTGGTCTAGTGGCTAAGGTACTCGGCTGCTGATCCGCAGGTTGCGGGATCGAATCCCGGCTGTGGCGGCTGCATTTCCGATGGAGGTGGAAATGTTGTAGGCCCATGTATTTAGAGATTTGGGCTCACGTTAAAGAACCCCATGGGGTCGAAATTTCCGGAGCCCTCCACTACGGCGTCTTTCGTAATCATATGGGGGTTCGGGGACGTTAAACACCACAAATCAATCAATCAATTACAGTTCCTTATGTTTTATCTTCCTTCAACGTCCGCTTCTTGGGGCTAACTTAAACTTCCTTCGGTGTAGTGGCGTTCGAATGGGTTCTTGAACTGGACTTTGTTTGAGTGATGCATTTTTATCTCTTAAAGGCCAGCTGGTCCATTTTTGGTAGGAGAGATTGTAGTTGTAGAACAAATTTTCTGCTACGGTGGCGATTAGCAGGTTTTAGTTGGCTTTTATGAATGCCTTAGCCTATTGTTATAGCATTTGAAGCCTCCAATAGCAGACTGATAAGACATTGAATCTTACGTTTAGTGTTTCTTGTAAGCAGGCTTGTTGGTTTTACGTGTGAAGAGGTGAGAAACTTTTCCTTGTGATCTATTTTCTACAATTCAAAGCTGATAAAGGATGACATAATCGAATTCTGCCTTAGTAATGTCCTTTTGAAGTCCTGGCCGCTCTAAATTCACAGAATCTTTGATAACCAAGTTGAACGTTTGCCTGACGTGGTTTATCCGCTGTAACACGTATTATGCCGAATAAATTTAAGACGGATGACCGCCATAGAATTGACCATGTGGCGCACGAAAGAAAGCTGTTTTTCTGCCTTGCTTCTACAATATTAGTCTTGATCTCAAGAAATCTGCAAAGCGCATATGTTTTGATGTCGCCGTATCTGCTCAATTAAAGCTGTCAAGCGTTGGCGCTACGGCAAACGCACGTGTTCGCAAGTCACGTGGGTGCAATGAGAAGCGCCGCGAGCCGTTCGTATATAGAGAGTATGTTCTATTCTATTCTATTCCACCCACATGTGGCAAGGTTTATGTTGGCCAAATAGGCAGGTGCATGAACAATCACTTCCACGTACGGGTATTATGTAGGAAAATAGTTTGTCAGGACTCCCCGCCGGTCATTGTGGACATTGCGGTTGCAAGCCTCTGTTAAACAACCCGCATTCGCCGCCTGAAAATTCTGCTCCACTCACGAGCAAAATTAACGAAATTTCGGATATATAGTGTGTAGATGCAGTAAGACGCTCTTCAATCTGGGTATCCTAAAAGGAAATTTTTTTTTTAGCGTCACCCACCTGACTGATTTGGTGGGACGACTAGCCCCCCCCCCCCTTCCCCCCCCTCACCCCCCTTCTTTTTTTTCT